CCCCCCCCCAAAATCCTACAAAGTGTAGTTATTTGTTTCAGGTAAAATTTCTAATTTCCTGTGGAAATTGTGGTTATCTTCCCACTGGTAAGCAGATTCTCTTTCATTCATTCATGTTTCTTTTTCAGATTGCATGTGGCTCAGAGCATAATCTGGCAGTAGTTGGTAAGTAGCTTAATTTTTATATCAAATACCATCAGAACTTTTTCTTTTCCATTTGTAAGTAGCTCAAGATGAAAGGGAAACGTACACCATAAACATACTGAGTGATTAAGGATGTTGTGCAGAGCAGCTGAAAGGAGGAGCATGACATATGGGTGTTGAGGAAAGAAACACCAAAATCTGTAATATAAATGAGGATGATGAGAAGAAATGACCTTGCTGATCGCAAGGAGTTGATGGATATAAGAGCAGAACACTTTCAGGGAGTGCTACAGCATGTTTTAGAACAGCACCATCACAACAGTTCAGGCTGCAGATGCAGAGTAACATCTAAGTTTGAAGCTGGTCAAAAGTGTCTTTGTTTTACATAGAAATATTCAATGAAGAAATCCTGGGTTTCTTGGTTGCAGTTAGGAAAAATCTTCAAAATGTCAATTAATGCTAGTTAGGTTCTTTAGTACGATGCAGCTGTTGTAATAATGACGAAATTGGCGGGAAGCTAATGCCAGCGCACTAGAGTGTGTGTGCAATCCCCAGGAGCAATCAGAGGCTTGGTTTCCGTTAGCTTTGTGACGCATGGTCATAGTTGAAGTTGCTGATACATGATCGCTATTACTTATAATTTTACATGTTTAAGAACATTTTTAACTGTAGATTTTCAGATGCTTTATAAAGGAGGTCAGCATAATTATCCCCCTTAACAGGTAGGGTAAGAGACAGAGAAAGGATCTCTCTGTTGGAAGTTAATCGATGAGTCAGTAGCGGAGCTGGAAATGAAACCAAGCTCCTCTGTGTTTCAGTCCAGCACTCCATCATCCACTTTGGCATCGTTGATTGCCTTGACTGATGTTTTGAGATGTTAAGTGATTTCCTTGATTTTTCTTGAGTGCATTATGACAGGTCTGAGGAAACCAGCTATTTGGTATGCAACCTGTATTTCATGTCCTGACTTTTGAAGACATACTTATTTTACCCCAGTGTCTAATTAGTTTCATTACCTGTCCACAGAGGGGCTTTTCATATATGTTGTATATGATTTTCTAATTATCCTTGTAGAATTAAACCTTGTAGTGAACTTGTCAAACTTCAGCTTAATTTGTATGACTGGCTCTAAGAAGAGTTTTTTCCTTTTTCTGCCAGCTTGTTCAGTGTCACATGCCGGTATTATTGGCAGGCTGGTGCTTCTGAATGTCGACTGAAGAGCAATTTGGAGAATTACATTGTGTTTCTTGCTGAATTGATAAAGTAAAAGTGTACTGCTAGCAAATTTATCCAGTGTGAACGGAAGCAAAGCATCTAGTTTCTCCTTGTGTCCTTTTAAGGCTTCTGCCTTTTAGACAAAAATCTCAGGGAAAAATAGGAGAGAGAAATTCTGTAAGTTGCAGTAAACAGATAACATGGGGTATGCAAAGAATTGCATATGCCTGTCTAAGCCTTGTGCTGCTCTCATTGAGTTCAATGGGAAATTTGTCAGTGCTGAAAGCTAGTTATTTTTATTTTGAAGTACAAGAGAAGTGATATTACTTTTTTTTTGACCCTAAGGAGCTATGATAGTTTTTATTGCTGAACTGAATTTTTACTTGTACTTCTTAAAAGGTTGCTTTCTTAGAACACTTTTGGAAAGACTTACGATTACTTGTCACTCTTAGTTCAAGGCTGCCAACGTTTTATTCATTAAAGATATCACACTGATTTGAGTAAATATGTCAGCTGGATTGTACAATTTTCTAATAACTTATCATTCAAACAGTGTTTATTTAGGATAACTATATAATCAGTTTCTTTCTTAATTGGTAAATGCTTAAGTGGTTGGTTTTTTTTAAATGGAAATAACTCTGAAGTTTGATGTGAAAGGTAAACTGAAAAGCAAGCCTTTGGCATTAGAATATTCAAGTAACTATTTCTGGTTGTGTGCACAGATGTGTACTTTTTTGCATCTTCTTTTAAATGGAAATATTTTTAAGATAGATGAGCTGTATTTATGATTTATTCCACAATTGATGAAGTTTGTTCCAATCATCTTGCTGATGAAGTGAAGTGTCTGATTTATAAGACTTGTTAGCAGCTAATTTTTTTCATTATATTCTCTATGTAGTCTGCATCCATTTATATGGTTCAATCTTTTGGTTCTGTTTTATAAAGTGTTATGCTTTGTTGTGATGTTTTCCACTTCCCTGCATGTATAAGGGGTTTTCTTTTCTAGGTTACCATCCTATAGTGGTCCAGATACATGTAGACTATGCTTTTGGTAGAAAATTTTGCTGAATTAGTCTTTGTTTCCACTGAAGTCAGTGCAAAACTTTGTTGTTGTCTTCAGTGGGGATAAACTAGAAGAAGTTCAGCTTTCATTTGATCATGAGGTTACCATTATGAAGGATAAGGTGTGGGATGTCTCCAAATATGCACACATTTCTAAACTTAATGAGCTAAAAAGAAATAGTATCTTAAAAACGATAAATATCTTCAGTTCTAACTTTTAGTAAAAACACACTTTTGGTTTGGAGGTTGTCTTGTGATGCTAACTTCAACATTTACAAGTATTTTAATTTTTTCATATTTGTGTGACCTTCTACTTGAAAAGCAAAAACCCTGCCTATTACAGCAAAATCTTGCACTTTTCACTGCAATCAAAGATTAGTCATCATGGCAGTCAGTCTTTTTTGATTGAAAAAAATGGATAGTTATTTAATAAATGTTGGATGGTATCTCACATCTGCAAAACGTTCTCTTCTAGCCCTGAAAACAATATACAGATTTATTTAACACAACAAAAAGTTGGCCTTTCAATGTCGATATGATAGCTGCGTTGTGTAGCACTGAAGTTCATAACCGTGATACTATGAGAGAATCTTTGAATGATCCAAATACACAATGAGACTAAATCATAATTTTTTTTAGAGAATAATTATCCTTTAAGAGAATACTTTGTATTCCATGTCGCTCATACAATGCTACAACCGAAGCAATGGGGTGATGTTACCTATGCTAATGTGGAGTTGCTGTACAATATATGGATGTCTTCACTGCCCTGTAACCACAGGGCAGAGCACAGAATGCCTCCTAGAGACCCAAGATGCAGATCTCTTAGTAAGTGGTGCTGACGTTTTTCTGAAACTTTATTCTGTCCTCTTTGAAGCAGTAACCAGTGGAGTCATTACAAGGATGACACTTCTATGTTTTGGCTCCCAAAAATCTTAAAACAATGCCCTCTTTTGTCTTCCCTTTTGTTGTTTTCTCATCTGTAGAGCCTAATAGAAATCCTTTAAAAGGAAGGGAAGATATTTGAAGATTCATAGGGAAAAGTGCTTGTTTTTAAAAATGTGACTCTAAAAGCTTATTAGCCTCAATTTCCTGACACGCTTCTTAAATGTGATGCTTCGGCTTGTGTAGTCAGGCTCTGAATCCAGGTATTGCAGCGGCTAAGCAGCAGGGTCCTGACGGCGGTGGCGTGCTGCAGCATGGCTGTGTTAGTGGTGCAGACTCCTTAGGGAGGCAGTGGCGGGAAGGTAGTGAGGCATCTCCGAAGATCTCTCAAGCTTCTTTGGAGGCTGAAGATGACTCCGTTGACTGCCTCACAGAAGCACTGTGCAAGACCTGTGAATGCTCCCGCGTGGTATTCTGTGTGAATGCCATTGAAATGGGAGGATTTGCTATCGCAAACATATGTTTGTTAATGGAGCGATCCCAGAATCCCGTCTTTGACTGCGGATGCAAAAGGCCATCCCTCTTGCGGTGGTTCCTGAGTTCCCAGTCAAACCCTATGGAGCTGAGTTGCTGAGTGTGAGGAAAGGATGTTGCCTGTTCAAAGACAAAAGGGGTTTGTGGTGTTTTTTTGTTTTTTTGGTTTTTTTTTGAATATCCATCTTTAAGCAGTCCTCAAAGGAGAGTTTGGGTCCCCTTCACTGTTTGTTTGTTTGTAAACAGTTATTTCTTACTTGTAGTGTGTATGTTTGCTGTAGTGTAATGGCTGATACCAAGTCTAATCAGTGATTTTCTGCTAACCTTGTAGAAGAGGGCAACATGTTAAAAAAAAAAAAAAAAAAAAAAAAGTTAGTTAAAAAAAAAAAAAAGCCCCAAACCTGGCCACCTGCCCAGAAGCACTTTTTGCATGCAGAAGTGGCATATGCAGAAACAATTCCCTGTCTGATCAGCCCCATTTCAATGTGTTCAATGCAACTGTATTTTCATACAACACTTTTAAAATCAGTTTTCAACTTTCCAATAAATAATAGGGCCCTTTGGAGAAGGATTGAATTTGTTTCCCCGAGTGTTTTTGTTTGTTTGTAGTTTAGGATAACTGTGTGATTTGTTTCAAGATTGTGTGCTTATCTGTGGATTAGATTCAAACACTGCTGTAAATACTGTGACACGGGTATTCCTGTCCCTCTGATGCTGCAAATCATCCAGCTGTAGAAGAAACAGTAGCACTAAGTTTAATGGCAGAATAGTCTTTCAAGGAAACTAGTAAAAACATCCCTCCACTCAAAAGGCAAGTGGTACTTCAAATTCGCTTGAGTTACCTGTGCAATAGCTTTAGAGGAGCAGTACATAAGTAAGTAACGCATGATCCGTTTAGGTTTTTATGCTGGAAGAACTTAGCAATTATGCACTGGAACATAATGGGGGGAAGCAGCTGGTGTGATACGCATCCTGAGGTGCTGGTATTGCTAATGGCACCCGGAGAGAGCACTTTGGTTCCATGCTGTCTAGAGAGGAAGCTGAAGGGTTTCTGCGCTCCTAATTAATGAGGTCAGTATCTTCTAGGGAAGTTCTGTGATTCCAACGAAATTATTGTAAAAAGCATCAGTTGAGGGGGTACTGTAACAGATTCTGAAAGGCATATTTCTATGGCAGAGTGAGCACCAATCGGGAAAGAGACTGCGCTGTCTGACAGGCAGATCTCTGTGTTATGCTGACAGCGTTATTTAGGTGTTCACAGCCGCCCTGCGAAGCGGCAGATGTAGTCATGTGTCTGACATTCAGTCCTGGGGGACTCAGCAGTC